AAACGCAGCCTTATAGACCGCACTTAAGGTCGGTGAAATTAACTTCAGTAGCCGCATGACGCTTCGGAGAACGGCTTTTTTAGAAGAGCACGAAGCGTATGCATGGAATCGGGAACAGAATTTTTAAATTTGGATTCAGCCTGCTCATCACTTTTCCATACCCTTTTTCAGAGTTTTTGTACTAAGAAATAAATTAATGAAAGGAAATTTGGAGTGAACACTTCATCTGATTTCTTCAATATTCCATATTTCCCGTAAATGAGTGTTTTCATTTGGGAGCAGCCACTTGTGGAAGCAGTTTTCATGAGAAGCATCGTTCCTCAACTTTTCGAATACTGCTTCATTGAGCATATTTAATATAAGTACCAGTAGTAGGAGCTATTCGTCTAGGCGTGATTCAACAAAGGAACATTCGAGAAAGAAGTGATAGAGCGAGCTATGAACAAGTAACGGATGAACGATCGCCTGTTCTGGATTGGGCTTCAGAACCTGCAGAACCATAATAATAGGTAAGTCCCCTGTTTCTTTTCTCCTTCCGCAATTTCTGGATATCGCTGAAAATCAATGCGGCATTCATGTCTTCGCCAGGGACAGATTCAACAGAATTCCTAATTCCAACAGGAATCGAATCAGGAAGTGAGTGATGTGAGCATCTCCGTTGCGACGAAAGATGTGTTGCAAATGGTGTCACAAGAGCGGCTTTCGGTCAGGGCATAATTGACTCAAATACAGTTCCCGCGATCAGATGATCCGCGAAATGCCTCCATTCATTCGGCGTTCAGGTCCGTACTCGCATAGAGTGTACATTTTCTTCACACGAAAGGACGAATAAAACGGCTACATGCGTGTCACTCTTGTGGCCGTTGTTTTTTTCAGTCTGTAAGACAACTAAGTATATTGCGTGTATATATTCTGTTGCCTGCAGCGTCGTAGGACGATTTCATGTGCTCGTTTGAGGGAATTTGTGCTTGTAGACTCTTTCGCGGGCTCGCGAGTTGTCCTGCTCTATCCGGATAACTTTTTTGAAAGCAAGCAAGCAAGCGGTAATAGTATACTTCGCATGGCAAGTTGCTGTTTGGCGCTGCTTAATCGGTAGCGATGCAATCGATTCAGTGCAAAAGCTCGTCGTGCATTGCTTATGTAGTCCAATCATGCACAGCGTTTTG